GAGAGTCAGCCACAGAGCCAGCTGCACAGCCAGCTAGCTAGCTAGCTAGAAAGCTAGCTAGCTCCCAAAGGCTCAAACTCCGTTATCAGATAATAAAACACCTTAACCCTAAACCCTAAACCCTAAACCCTAAACCCTAAACCCTAAACCCTCGCTCACCAGGCGCGCAGTGTCTCCCCTGTCCTCTTGGGCCCCCTGCTTTAAGACACCAGGGCCAACGTCCCCTTGCTGCAAGACACACACAAACCCTAAACCCTAAACCCTAAACCCTAAACCCCAAACCCTAAACCGTAGGCGCTTGTTCGTAGTTAGGGGCTGGGTCTGCATGCACTGCAGCTGGAAGAAGGAAGACCTTGGATCTGGCAACCGCCGAACCCTAAACCCTAAACCCTAAACCCTAAACCCTTTTTTGTGTTTTGCGCCTAAACCCTCGATACCTCAGCCCCACAAGCAGCCCAGGGCCTCCAGAGGGGCCCTCTGTGTCTTTAGGCATTTCTTTGAAGTGTATGGAGGAGCGAGCTGGAGAAGGAAAGAAGTGCTGTAGGGTTTAGGGTTTAGGGTTTAGGGTTTAGGGTTTAGGGTTTAGGGTTTAGGGCTGGGATGGCGGCGCACCATCATCTTTGCTCGAGGTTTAGGAAAGGGCGGATTGCAGAAATGCAAAAAGGAAACACAAACGCGTTTTGAGCTTGCACAAACCCTGAAGCCTAAACCCTAAACCCTAAACCCTAAACCCTAGACACATGCAACCAGCAGCCACGGCGCCCCGCGCAGCAGCTACACAGCGGCTGCTGCTGCTGCTGCAGCAGCCGCTGCTGCTGCTGGCAGCTCAGAACCTCTCTATTGGTATTATTTGGATTAAAACTGAAAATAAAGAAGAATTAGCGGAGCAGAAAAGCGGAAAACTTCGAGTTTGAGCTGTGCGTACACCCCAGCAGGCCGCGAGCCGCCGCCGCCGCCGCAGCGCCGACTGAGGCCGCATTTTGCGCGTTTTTGACTCAAAAAAGAAACAAAATTCCCTTATTAATATAATTGGCGGTGAAAAGTGGGAAAAATCCGCGTTTGGAGCTCGCTTTTGGGGTGTACGTACACCGCAGCTCGCGCGCCAGCCGCCGCCAGCTGTCGTTTCGCCGCTGCGCAGCTCGGGTGTCTGTACACCTCAGCCCCCCGCCGCCAGTTCTTTCTTTTCTTTTTCTTTTCTCTTCATCACTTTATTTAAAATGACAGATTCTGTGGACTACTACAGCCTGGAGGGAGGCCGCAAGGGGGTGCCTGAGGAGGCGGACTTCCGCAAGGAGATTCGCCACGGCTTCATCCGGTCCGCAAACCCTAAACCCTAAACCCTAAACCCTAGCCCTCAAGCCTGCCCTGCAAACCCTAGGCCGCAGACCCTAAACCCTAAACCCTAGGCCGCTGCAGCGGGAGGCCAGTGACTGGCGCCCCGTGTTTGTTTGCTTAACCGCCAGTGCTTCTGCTGCTGCTGCGGCTGCTGTTTCTGCTGCTGCTGCTGCTGCTGTTTCTGCAGCAGCAGCAGCAGCAGCAGGCCTGCTGCTGCTGCGGCTCGTTGCTGCTGTTTAACTTTGCTGTTTTTTGCGTCTCTTTTGCTGCTGCTGCTCCCTTTTTGCTGGCGAGTTATTAAATTAAATTTGATTTGTTTTGTTTGCTGCTGCAGCAAAGTCTACGGAATTGTTGCTGCGCAGCTGCTGCTGATTGCTGCAGTCACTTCGCTGCTGCTGTTTGTCCCTGGAGCAGCAGCTTGGGCGCGGGAGCACAGCGGGCCCGTAGTGCTGTTGTCCTCAGGTGCCCAAACCCTAAACCCTAAACCCTAAACCCTAAACCCTAAACCCTAGCTAGCCGCAAACCGTAGCTCGAAGCCAGTCCCGAGGCTTGGAAGGCCCGTTCCCTCTCCCCCGTCCCCCTTCAGCAGGAGCAGCGTGCGCTAGGGTTTCGGGTTTAGGGTTTAGGGTTTAGGGTTTAGGGTTTAGGGTTTAGGGTTTGTGCGTGCAGTGGGGGCGTTGGTGTGCTCGTTGGCGCTGCTGTGTTCTTCTTTGCGGCGGCGGTTTCCGCAGAACTATTTGCTGCTGCTGCTGTTTACTCTTTTGGAGTCTTTGATAGTTGGCAGCATTTCATCTTTTTTCGAAATAAAAGTTATTTTAGTTTCTCTCTTTTGCTGCTGCTGCTGCTGCTGCTTCCTGAGTCTCTTAGCCTGCCAGACGCAGCACGACTTGACTTCCTGCGCGGGTTTTGCTGCGCTGCTGGGCTTCGACCTGCTGCTGCTGCTGCTGCTGCTGCTGCTGCTGCCGGGGCTGCATGCGCTCTACAGCGCATGCACTTTGCTGCTCTTTTCTTTTTATTTGCTGCTGGATACTCAATTAATAATTAAAAGAGGATCCATTTCTTTCCAAGAAGATGACTTTGCTGCTGCTGCGCTGCTGCTCTCCGTGGACTTCGTCAACATCTACTTGAGTCTCTTGCGCCTCATTGGCGAGCGCTCCAGCGACTGAGCTGCTGCTGCTGCTGCTGCTGCTGCTGCTGCAGCAGCAGCAGCAGCAGCAGCGCGGCGAGGGGCTCGCGCGCGGAGTTTCTTTCGGTGGAGCGGCAGCAGCTGCTGCAGCAGCTGCAGCAGCAGCTGCTGCTGCAGCACCAGCTCAGGGGGCGTCTCCCTTTTGGAGTTTCTTACGCTGCAGCAGCAGCAGCGGCAGCAGCAGCAGCAGCAGCACAGTGGGTGCCTGTCTTTTGGAGTTTCTGTTGAATTATATTTCTTTTCTCGGTTTCATATTTCTGTGGACTAAAGTTTTAAATGTGAAGTTTCTTATTTTGCAGCAGCAAAATAAAAAACTTCACAAGCAGCAGCAGCAGCAGCAGCAGCAGCTTTTGTTTTTTTATTTTCTGTTTCCGTTTCTTTAAGTCCTTTTTGCATATCTTTCCACTTTTTGCATGTGCTCTTTCTCCGAAGGAAAAGTGCAGCAGCAGCAGCAGCAGCGGCAGCAGCAACAGCAGCAGCAGCTGCTGCAGCAGCAGCAGCAGCAGCAGCAGCTGCTGCAGCAGCAGCAGCAGCTGCAGCAGCAGCTCCAGCAGCAGCAGCAGCTGCTGCTGCTGCTGCGGTGTGCGTACACCTGGGGCGCGAGAAGTTGAGGTGTACGTACACCGCAGACTCCCGTTTTTGAATATTCAATTTTTTAGTTTTCGAATTTCCAAATAAATCTTTTTATCTTTTTGCAACTCTTTTGCTTCCTTTGCACCTTAGAGAAAGGCCCTCAAGGGCTTTAGGGTTTAGGGTTTAGGGTTTAGGGTTTGCGGCTCCGTAGCCTAGTCTTCGGGTGTTTAGGTCTCGCCACACAAACCCTAAACCCTAAACCCTAAGAACCCTAGCCCGGAGCTCCCCCAAGCCCTCTTCGCTGCAAACCCCAGGAGCTGCAAACCCTAAACCCTAATTGTGAAAACCCTAGCAAACCCTAAACCCTAATTGTGAAAACCCTAGCAAACCCTGAATTCTGCAGGAGGCCGCAAGCTGCACACTCTAAACCCTCATTGCCGCAAACCCTAGGGCCCCAAACCCTAAACCCTCGTTGGAAGCCCCCCGAGCAACTCCAGAAGGCCCTAGGGTTTAGAAGTTTAATTTAAAGAGGATTAACGAATGCTGGCGTGCGCTGCTGCTGCTGCAGCAGCAGCTGCTGCTGCTGCTGCTGCTGCAGCTGCTGCTGCTGCTGGTGCCGCTGCCTCTAGTGTTTTGCGGGGGTGCAGCAGCAGCAAAGGGGGAAACAGCGGGCCGGAAGGAGGATGAAATAAAAAGCGGAAAGGGTGAAGGAAGGCGCGCGGAAGTTTAGGGTTTAGGGTTTAGGGTTTAGGGTTTAGGGTTTAGGGCTGGGGGTTAGCGGTTGGACTGGTTCTGGTGGTCTGGGTGTGAACGGACTCGAGACGCTGCGCAGGGAGGAGGAGGCGAAAAGGGGTAAAAGTGGAGGAAATTTGGATTTTTTTTGGAAAATAAAAAGTAAAAGAAGAAATTAAATCCAATTGGAGTGGAAGAATTGGGTTTAAAAGGATTTAAAGGGGCGAATCGCGGCTGCGCAGCGGCTGCTGCTGCGCGGCGGCGCTGCACGGCAAACGGGGCTCCAGCGCAGATCCCGGGGGCTGCTGCGTGTTTGGCGGCGTTTTGGGGTTTGTTTTGAAGGGAAATTTGAATGAAATGGTGAAAAATGAATTTGAAATTCGATTTTGGCGCGAGCAGGTCCCGGTAGGCGTGGCAGGCGGGCTTGCGCGCGCGCGGAGCTGGGGTGTACGTACACCCGAAGCGCCTCGACACGGTGCAGCTCTCGAGTTGCCGCGGCTTTTAATCATTTTTTCATTTCTTTTTCTTTTTCTTTTTGCAGGAGTTTCTTTTTTTTCTTTTTAAGCCCGAGGGCTGCGGCGGAGCGCCGCGGGAGCGCTGCGGGCTGCCGCTTCCCGGCTTGCAATTCCCCTCTTGCAAAAACTCCTTTCTTGAATTCTTTTTTTCTTTTTCCCACTTTTCCTCTTCTTTCCTTTCCCCTTTGTCTCGCTTTGTCTCTCTTTGTCTATTTACCCCGAGGCCCTCTCCAGGGGCCTCTCTTTGCTTTTTCTTTTCATCTTTTCTTCAATGAATTCCTCTTAACTCCATTTCCGACTTCTCCATTTTCTCCGCGCCCCAGCGGCCGCTCCCGCCGCAGCAAACGCCGCCCAACTGCCCAGCTAGCTGCTGAATTAACTAATTAATTAATTAATTAACTAACTAATTAATTAATTAATTAATTAATTCCCCAATTAATTAATTAATTAATTAATTAATTAATTAATTAGTTCTTTTATTGTTCAAGGTATTCACCAGTTCTTTCTTCTGCGCTTCTCCACAGCGGCGAGCTGCGCTTTGCTGCTCTCGCGCTGCTTTTATTGCAAATGTGCAGCAGCAGCAAACTTTGCTTTTGCTGCTGCTCTTTTTCTTTATTTGTCTTCTTTCCATTTGCCTTCTTTCGATTTGACTATTTACAATGAAGCTTCCTTCCACGCGCAACACAGCTGCAGCAGCAACCCTGCAGCAGCAGCAGCAGCAGCAGCAGCAGCAGCGGCGGCAGCAGCAGCAGCAGCTGCTGCAGCTGCGACGGAGGCCGCAGCAGCAAGGGAAGGAGCGGCAGCAGCAGCAGCAGCGCTTGACGCCCCGCCCGCAGCAGCAGCAGCAACAGTATCTGCTGCTGCTGCTGCTGCTGCTGCTGCTGCTGCCGAGTGCATGTGGGGCTGATGTCTTTTCCCTCGGCCCTAAGGTCGCCAGCGAGGTGTACGTACACCCTGGCTCCGATGGAAACAAAGTGTGGGGTTCTGCTGCTGCAGATGACTCCAGCCCAAATAACGCAGCAGCAGCAGCAGCAGCAGCAGCAGCAGCAGCAGCAGCAGAGGACGTCCCTGCAGCAGCAGGAAGCAGGCGCAGGCCGCTGCGGCAGCCAGTGTGGCGCGCAGGTCGAGGTTCTTTTGCTGCAGTTGCTGCTGCTGTTGCTGCTGCTGCAGTTGCTTATTTGCTGCTGCTGTGCGCCCGCCTCAGCTGGAGAGACACAGAGACAAGTTCCCGAATGGAATTCCATTCTTTCCGCAGAAGATTAGCTGCTGCCAGCAGCAGCAGCAAACCCAGCAGCAGCAGCAAACCCAGCAGCAGCAGCAAACCCAGCAGCAGCAGCAACAACAGAAGGAGACGCCGCCGCGGCTGCGCAGCAAACAGCAGCAGCAGCAGCAGCAACATCAAAGGCCGCCGCAGCAGCAGCAGCAGCAGCATCGGGCAGCAGCAGGAGGCCGCTGCGCAGCAGTCCTCGCCCCGCTCCGCCTCCTACGCAGAAGCAGCAGCAGCAGCAGCAGCAGCAGCAGCAGGAGACTCCCTGTCTCCTCCAGCAGCAGCAGCAAAAGGAGACAAAGCAGAATTCTTTTCTCTTTCAGTTCGCTCAGCTCCCCCCCTTTCGCTGCTGCTGGCTGTGGCCCCCCCGGCCTTCGGCAGCAGCAGCAGCAGCAGCAGCAGCAGCAGGAAGAAGAAGAAGCGGAAGGGCCAGCAGCGGCACAGCGGCGACCCTGCAGCAGCAGCAGCAAAGCCAGCAGCAGCAAAGCCAGCAGCAGCACGGCCAGCAGCAGCACGGCCAGCAGCAGCAAGGCCAGCAGCAACTGCCGAAGAGGAAACAGAGCCAGAAGATGAAGTCGAGACCCCTGCTGCAGCAGCAGCAGCAGCAGCAGCAGCAGCAGGAAAGCAGCCAGCAGCAGCAGCAGCAGGAAAGCAGCCAGCAGCAGCAGCAGCAGGAAAGCAGCCCGCAGCAGCAGCAGGAAGGCTGGCGTCCGCAGCGAAGCCTCCGGCAGCAGCTCGGCTGGCAGCAGCAGCAGCAGCAGCAGCAGCTCTTGGCGAAGCAGCAGCAAAATGGAATTCCCCAGCAGCAGGAACTCTGGGGGGCGCTGCCGCCGGAGCAGCAAAAACTGGGAAAGGCGAAGCAGCAGCAGCAGCAGCAGCAGCAGCAGCAGCAGCAGAGTTCTCTGAAGCCGTCGCGAGCTTCTCGGGGCTCACCTTGACTCCTCCGAGAGACAAGGCAGCAGCAGCAGCAGCAGCAGCAGCAGCAGCAGCAGCGTCTGCAGCAGCAGCAGCAGCAAGTCCCAAGTCCGTGCCCAAGGGAAGCAGCCTGTCGGCAGCAGCAGCACGACGTGCCGCATCTCCCGCAGCAGCAGCGCCGTCTGCTGCTGCTGCTGCTGCTGCTGCTGCCATTGCTGCTGCCGCTGCGGCAGCAGCAGCAGCAAGAGGATCAGCAGCAGATTCCCCCCGCGGGGGGCCCCCCTTCCAGGGGGCCCTCCCAGGGGCCCCCCCCTCAGAGAGCCCCCTGGCCAGGGGCCCCCTGGAGGGGGGCCCCCTGAAGAGGGGCCCCCTGGGCAGTACCTCCTTGGAGGGGCCCCCCCTGGCCAAGGGCCCCCTGGCCGGGGGCCCCCTGATCAAGGAGGGCCTATTGGGGGGCCCCTTGAACAAGGGGCCCCTGGCTGGGGGCCCCCAGACCAAGGGGCCCCTGGCTGGGGGCCCCCAGAACAAGGGGCCCCTGGCCGGGGGCCCCCAGAACAAGGGGCCCCTGGCCGGGGGCCCCCTGCCCGGGGGTTTCCTGATCAAGGGGCCCCTGGGTGGGGGCCTCCCGGCGGGGGCCCCTCTGGGTGGGGGCCCCCTCACCGAGGGCCCCTTGAACAAGGGGCCCCTGGCCGGGGGTGCCCTTGGGGGGGGCCCCCTGCCTGGGGGCCCCCTGCCTGGGGGCCCCCTGCTGGGGGGCCCCCTGCCGGGGGGCCCCCTGCCGGGGGGCCCCCTGCCTGGGGGCCCCCTGCCTGGGGGCCCCCTGCCTGGGGGCCCCCTGCCTGGGGGCCCCCTGGCTGGAAGCTCGTTGAACAAGGGTTCCCTGGGTGGGGTCCCCCTTGCCGGGGGCCCCCTTGCCGGGGGCCCTCTTGCTGGGGACACCTTAAAGAAGGGACCTCTGGGTGGGGGCCCCCTGGCAGGGGCCCCCGTGGGTGAGGGGCCCCTGGCCGGGGGTCCCCTGGGTGGGGGCCTCTTGGGTGGGGGCCCCCTGGGTGGGGGCCCCCTGGGTGGGGGCCTCCTGGCCGGGGGCCTCTTAAACAAGGGCCCCCTGCCCCTGGATGGGGGGCCCCTGGCCGGGGGCCCCCTTGCCGGGGGCCCCTTAAACAAGGGCCCCCTGGATGGGGGCCCCCTGGGTGGGGGCCCCTTGAAGAACGAACCCCTGGGTGGGGGCCCCCTGGGTGGGGGCCCCCTGGGTGGAAGCCTCCTGGGTGGGGGCCCCCTGGGTGGGGGCTCATTGGCTATGGGCCCCCTGGGGGGGGGCCCCCTGGGGGGGGCCCCCCTGGATAGGGGCCCCCTGGCGGGGGACCCCTTGAACAAGGGCCCGCTGAGTGGGGGCCCCCTGGCAGGGGGCCTCTTGAACAAGGACCCCCTGGGTGGGGCCCCGCTGCCGGGGGGCCCCCTGCCTGGGGGCCCCCTGCCTGGGGGCCCCCTGCCTGGTGGCCTCCTGCCTGGGGGCCCCCTGCCTGGGGGCCCCCTGCCTGTTGGCCCTCCTCCTGGGGGCCCCCTGCCTGGGGGCCCCCTGCCTATTGGTCCTCCTCCGGGGGGCCCCCTGCCTGGGGGCCCCCTGCCTGTGGGCCCTCCTCCTGGAGGCCCCCTGCCTGGGGGCCCCCTGCCTGTTGGCCCTCCTCCTGGGGGCCCCCTGCCTGGGGGCCCCCTGCCTGGGGGGCCCCTTCTTGGGGGCCCCCTGCCTGGTGGCGCCCTGCCTGGGGGCCCCCTGCCTGGGGGCCCCCTGCCTGGGGCCCCCCTGGGTGGTGTCCCCCTGGGGGGGAGCTCCTTGGCTAAGGGCCCCCTGGATGGGGGCCCCCTGGGTGGGGGCCCGTTGAAGAAGGGTCTTCTAGATGGGGGCCCCCTGGCCGGGGGCCCCCTGGATGGGGGCCCCCTTGTTGGGGGCCCGTTGAAGAAGGGTCTCCTAGATGGGGGCCCCCTGGCCGGGGGCCCCTTGAACAAGGGCCCCCTGGATGGGGGCGCCCTGACTGGGGGCCCCTTCAACGAGGGGCCCCTGGGTGGAAGCCTCCTGGGTGGGGGTTCCTTGACTAAGGGCCCCCTGGGTGGGGCCCCCCTGGGTGGGGCCCCCCTGGGTGGGGCCCCCCTGGGAGGGGGCCCCCTGGGAGGGGGCCCCCTGGGAGGGGCCCCCCTGAACAAGGATGGGCTGGGTGGGGGCCCGCTGGTTCGGGCCCCGCTGGGTGGGGGCCCCCTGGGGGGGAACTCCCTTTGCGGGGGCCCCTTGAACAAGGGGCCCCTGGGAGGGGGCCCCCTGGGAGGGGGCCCCCTTGGAGGGGGCCCCCTGGGAGGGGGCCCCCTGGCAGTGGGGCCCCCCCCCGGCTTCCCGCCGGGGGGGTTGCCCGCTGCGGAGATCCCCCCAGCGAAGGGCCTCTTCGGGGGGGGCCCCCTGGGGCCCCCACCCCCTCCCGGGGGCCCCCCTCGGGTGGGTACTTTGGAGAGGGGCCCCCCTGGGGTGGGTACTTTGGAGAGGGGCCCCCCTGGGGTGGGTACTCTGGAGAGGGGCCCCTCTGGGCTGGGTACTTTGGAGAGGGGCCCCCCTGGGGTGGGTACTTTGGAGAGGGGCCCCCTGTTGGCCTCCGCGGAGGCCCCCGCGAGGGCCCCCCCGGCTGCGCCGCCGGCGGGGCCCCCCCCGCAGGGGGCCTTAGTGGGGGCCCCCCCGGCCCCCGCCCCCGCGGGGGCCCCCCCGGGCGCCCCGCGGGG